TGGAAGCACTTTTAAATTTATTTTGACTCAAAACACATTTCAAATTCTACTTGAGTGCTTCTTTGGTGTTGCTGTCGAAATTTAAAAAAAAAAAAAACTATTTAATTTTGTGAATAATTATTTTCAATTTTTTTTTTAATTTTATCATAAATATATATATACAGTATTAGTAAGTTACTAATATCAATAATTTTCTAAATACATTAAGGTTCTATATATTAGAATATATTTTATTAACATAAAATGTCTAAGATAACTTCTAACGGGCTAGTTTAAAAAGAGTAATATTACACCAACAATCATTTCTTACAAACTTAATGTGACAGTTCGTAATTGGTCAACTCATAATTAATTAATGGGACCTATGCGAGACTCATGTGGGATCCATTATGAATAGACCAATTGCGAACTACTACCATGTCAGAGTTGTGAAAGGGGATTACAAAAATATAAAAGAGTTTTGCAGACTTAAATTACTAAAATAGGTTTTGGCATAAGAAAAACCGACACAAATTTATAAGATAGTACGGGGATATTTTTTATATTTCAATACTTTAAATAAGCTAAAAACAAGTCTTTAAATAAATTGTTGGTTCGTTTGGCAGGGTTTATTCGAATAAAGCTTATGGAAGTTAAATTTCTTATAATAGATATAATAAAAATAAAGCTTTTATAACAACTTTTCTTAAAATGAGGTTTTAGGTTAAAAAGGTAAACTCTTTTAATCGGTAGATAATTCCGACCAAATGGGTTTTTTAGTTGAACAAGTTAAAAAGCACTTTTGATTTGAGAATTGAAAATCCAAAGTGGAATAAAGAATAAGAGGTTGAGAAAGTGGCAAGGAAAGGAAGGATTGCACTGACGTGCTAAAGTAAAGGATAATTATGTGGGAGTCCCTTGGTTTTGGTTTAAGAACATGATGATTTTTTATTTATATATTTTTTAATTTCAAAAAATCATTAAAAAGATTTTTTCATGTAATTTCCAATAATTTAAAATAAAATACAGCAAAATTCACAAATTAGGAACCTCTTTCTTTAATGACATATATTATTATAATTTTTCTACAAATATATTTCATCATATAATGCCCCATCTAGTATGACTATGAAGTAAAGAAATAAAATATATTTTCATTTCGACATTTTTTTTTTTTAACTCATGAGATGTCAAAATTGTTATTTAATTTTTAAAAATTCTTTATAATAATTACTTTACAGACAACCTTATTCCTTAATTGAATTGATTATGTGTATTATTACATTCATTTTGTGTCATGTCATCTTTAGATTCTAATAGATGAAGTTGTCCCCGATGAACATTCACCCTAATTGATTTGAAGCGTTAAGTACATTTATGATGATCTTTATATTCAAAACATTGAAAACCCTCAAATACACACGTTCTATAATTTATGAACCAAAGATCGACAACTAGTAGCTGGATATTTTTTATTTTTTTTTTTGCAAACAAACTAGTTAATATATTTTGCTCCGTTCATAAAAAACTTTGTATCGATTATACCAGAGAATTAAGGCTTGTTTTTTTATGTTTTTTTACATTTTATTTTCGTTTTCTAACGCATTGAAAAAGGTAAGGATGCTACTCGTATACCATTTTGGGTGAAATTGAACTTGAAATTTTGAGAAAAAGCAAGAACATGAGTCCACAACTGACATAATAAGTTAAAAATTTGAATAAAATAATAAACAATTAACATATTTAAAACAAACTCTTCAAAATGAACAAAATAAATGATCATTTGTAATAATTTTATCCATTATGCATTTTATATTTCTTTCTTTGTATTTTTAGATAATATATCGAACACCATTTTCATTTTTTCCGTTTCTAAATATTATTTTCAGACAAACATGTTTCATTTTTCACATTTATTAATTATTTTCAATATTCTTCAGAAAAACAGAAAATAAAAACTCAAAATTCAAAAAAAAAAAAAAACACACAGGTACAGTCTTAGTAATCATCATGGCTTCGTTTGGTTCAAGATTGGGAATACTACTCTTAGTATTTCCAAAAAAGTTAAACAGTAAAATACCCAAAAACTCTCATTTTTGGGAATACTATTTTCAGTATTATTCAATTTTTTTTAAACCTTCTAAATTTGTTCATTTAATTAAATACCCCTAAATATTTTTTTTAAAATTACAAAAACACCCCAACAATCCACATTTACCAGATTCCGGCCACTATCGCCGGCCAAAGATCTGGCCGTTGACGGCCAGATCTTTGGCCGTAATAGTCGGTCACGACGGCCAACAAACGGTCGTCGTTGAGAGCAAATACGGCCAGATCTGGCCGTAGATCTGGCCTTTGTCGGCCAGATCCACCGTGGATCTGGTCGGAAAAGGCCATATCGGCGCATGACCGACAAGATCCAGCCGGTCATGGGCCCATAAGGCGACTCCAGCCACCTCCAGTGGTGGTGGCCGACTGGAGGTGTTTGAGGGTGGGTTAGAGGTATTTTTGTTAACTTTTAATATTTTATTATAGGGGGTATCTTGTAAAAAAACAAACATATGGGGTATTTTATTAATTTATAAATCCTACATCGTAATACCCACCTAATTTAACTTTTTTTAATTTTTTTTAAAAAACTTTTTCCAAAACCCCCAAATTTTGAACCAAACGAGCCCATATTTAGTTATCAAATGGAATAGATACTTTATCTGGAAGAGGTTCAGAATAGAATGGGCGATTGAGGAAATGACACGTCTTCTTATTATATTAAATTAATTGCATTAGTTCAAATGGGAGACAGATATCAATCACATATAATAATGTTAATGGACGCCACTTTTTAATTAAATTTAATATTCCTCATGCACTACCATTAGATACGTCACTAATAAAATAACAGGAAAAATTGACCACCATTTGTTTATTCATCATTAAGTAAAAAAAAAAAAAAAAAAAAAAAATTACATTTCATAGTTCTAATTATCTTATAACTATTATTAGATTTGTTATCAACTTATCATAACTTTTTTAACGAGTAAACGACTTTTTCCCACCCAAGGTTTGCCTTAATAACATTTTTCCATCAAAAAAGTTTCCAAATACAACATTCTCATCCAAAGTTTATATTCCGTTCATACTCAAAAACACTTTACTTTTTCAGCTAATGTTTGACGAGTTACCAGAAGCCAAAGTTAAATAGATTTTGTAAAGTAGAGGCCGATGGATCAAATGATAGTGAGTGATGACTGATTGAATATTTGTCATTGGAATAAATCGAAAATAAGCTAAGAATTAAATATCCTAGCTTTATGATAGTCGACAATCGACAAAAAATCAGGTACCGAACTGAGAAGGATTTTGTAGAGAGGAAACCAAAAGTTCAAATGATGATAACGGAAAGAATTTTCACTGTCAGAATCGACTTTAGATAATAACATAATATAATCTTAAAGTGGATAAGTGATATTTTAAAATTTTTTGAGTGAAAAATTGTCAGTAAGGCAACACTTGGGTGGGAAAAGTCGTTAACTACTTCACTTTCCTTTTTTATTGATATATGTTCATTCACCATTACATCAATCGTACTGAGGTCAATCAAAAAAATTTGGCATAAATTTTTCTTAATTTAAATCGAACAATTCTACAACTTTGCCTCCAACCTTGGGGCCATTTTCTCAATTATTTTGCTTCCGAAAATTTATGTTAATCTAATCTAAAACTGTATCAATCGGGTTGAACTGAATCGATCCAAGGTGCTTAAAATCGAAAATACAAAGCAATCTTCTATATCAAATCCAGTTATTTCAAGTAACATTAATAAATCTGATAAAACAGTGAATCTGTAATCAAATCAGAACATTCACAGAGGAGAAAAATGCATGATTTTTGTGTTTTATTGATACTATGTAAGCTGAAACATTTACAAGGCTAGAAAATCCATAATTTCAGTAGAAAACTAAACTCATGTTGGCAACACTATCGTACTGATATGATAACGTTACCGACTAGATTCAGGTTTTTTTTTTTTTTTNTGAGGAAATGACACGTCTTCTTATTATATTAAATTAATTGCATTAGTTCAAATGGGAGACAGATATCAATCACATATAATAATGTTAATGGACGCCACTTTTTAATTAAATTTAATATTCTTCATGCACTACCATTAGATACGTCACTAATAAAATAACAGGAAAAATTGACCACCATTTGTTTATTCATCATTAAGTAAAAAAAAAAAAAAAAAATTACATTTCATAGTTCTAATTATCTTATAACTATTATTAGATGTGTTATTATAACTTTTTTAATGAGTAAACGACTTTTTCCACCTAAGGTTTGCCTTAATAACATTTTTCCACCAAACAAGTTTCTAAATACAACATTCACATCCAAAGTTTATATTCCATTCATACTAAAAAACACTTTACTTTCTCAACCAATGTTTGACGAATTACCAGAAGCCAAAGTTAAATGGATTTTGTAAAGTGGAGACCGATGGATCGAATGGTGGTAAATGGTGACCGATTGAATATTTGTCATTAGAATCAACCAAAAATAAGCTAAGAATTAAAAACCCTAGCTTTGTGATAACCCGCAATCGACAAAAAATCAGATGCCGAAGTGAAAAGAGTTTTGTAGAGAGGAAACCAGAAGTTCAAATGATGATAACGGAGAGAATTTTCACTGTCGGAATCGATTTTGGGTAATAACAGAATATAAACTTCAAGAGGATAAGTGATATTTTAAAATTTTTTGGGTGGGAAATTGTCAGTAAGGCAAAACTTGGGTGGGAAAAGGCGTTAACTACTTAACTCCTTTTTTAATTGATAAATGTTCTTTCACCATTACATCAATCAAAATAATTTGGCATAAATTTTTCTAAATTTAAATCGAACAATTCTACAACTTTGCCTCCAACCTTGGGGCCATTTTCTATATCAAATCCAGTTATTTCTAGTAACATTAATAAATCTGATAAAACAGTGAATCTGTAATCAAATCAGAACATTCAGAGAGGAGAAAAATGCATGATTTTTGTGTTTTATTGATACTATGTAAGCTGAAACATTTACAAGGCTAGAAAATCCATAATTTCAGTAGAAAACTAAACTCGTGTGGGCAACACTATCATACTGATATGATAACGTTACCGACTGGATTCAGTTCTTTTTTTTTTTTCAAAGAAAGAGAAATAGCTCTTGTATTGCAACATATTCCCGCGGATAACCTATTTTTTTTCAGTAACTCAAGTATGGCCTAAGTCTAACTGTGTGAATCTTGAATACTTCAAACGTGGTTCCATGATATCGATGATGAACGAAACCCGGAAAATAATATCTTTTAGAGCATTGCTTACTTGTATTGAGTTGCTAAAAATTGTGTATAATCTACTCTTATCTTCTTGAAAATCTCGCCTTGGTAATATACATATACTCCAATAGCAATCCTGAAATTGGATTTTGTAACAGATTAAATGGCTAATTGAAGTGATGTCAAGGATTTAAACGGGATGGCCTTATATATATCAACTAATTTTAAGTTCAGAAAGATTGAAATAATTTAAAAATTTCGGTCTCGTGAGAAAAAATAGTGCAGATCCATACCAAAATTCTTGACATGTTTAAATGGGAAGAAGTGGTGTTCTCTCCTCGTTTCCAACATGATGGCTAGCCTGAAAAAAAATAAAATGTCATCATAAAACACTATTGTACCGGTTATAAGCTCACGAAGACGACGTCATATATTTAAACGAGAAGCTGTCCTGGAAGTTCTTACTTCTTCATTTGCCCCAGCTGCCATATTTATGAAGGATGTATCCTTTGACCTAGATTCACAATTTTCGGAGCCACAAGATAAATATTATGATTTCAAATTTCTTGCTTAGCAAAGCGACTTTTTAAAGGAAAATCAATGCATAACACCAAAAAAAGATTTCCATGTCCCATATACAATGAAAATCAGGATTTTTGAACAATCATCTACCTCTGATTTATCTGACTGTCTATCATTTCCAGACCGCCTCTTTGTGGTTCATCTTTAACCTTCAAAAGAGGTGAAAAGAACTGAAAATAAAAATGAACAAAATAAGCTGATTTTTCATAGCAAATAAACAACCTATCTCATCTGCAGTAAATTTAATTTGACTTCTAGAATAAGAGAACAGATTGATTTCAAGAGATGTCTATGTAAATTACCTGATGCATAGATATAAAAACAATGGAGATTCCAAGAACAAAATTAATAGTCAGGCTATGACCAAACATTGCAGCAGATGCTAATCCTGTAAATATTGTGGCAACAGCTGACGAGTATTTTTTCAAAATTGTATCTGCAAGAATCATATTAAAACTTAAATTTGTTAACCTAAACATAATAATGTTAAAGGAAATGGTAAGAGATGACATGAACACTAATGGTACATTAAAGAAATACTTAGCAATATTATATTTAGTTTTATTTATTTCATTTTTTAATCATAGTTCAGATAGGCAAGTGAATCCCAACAATTGCAATTCTAAGGAGCTGAAAACCATGTTCAAGCTGAGGCAAAGACTAATAAGCTTAATCCACAGCAGACCTGAACTGATGACTGATGAGCTAAATGGCTTCTTCTTTCTTACTGGAGCACCACTGTGCTGTGGCGCTCCACCAGTCGGATGGCATCCCTGCCCCAAGAGAATGGTGGCGTCTCCATTGGATAAGATGCCTATTCCCCTCGAAAGAGTGGGAAGTAACACTAATGCTTAGAGTTCATAGCTTAAAACCCCAAAGCCTTCTTTTAGATGTCTAATTCTAATATAGACGATAAAGTAGATAGATATTAAATGTTTTCTATGGCATGTTAATATGCAGCTGGTTAATTCAGTTGTGGATTTATTTGTGTTTCTTTTTTGGTGCTTCCTTCTATCTCATTCCACTTAATCAAACCTCAGCAGCTCACATCAGGAAAAAGACTGGAGGGGATATTGAAAATTTGAGTTCACAAAATTCTTCTTTAACTTTTTCACCACTCTTTTTGCCATCCTTTAAACCCAACCACTAAGCGTACAATATGAGGTCTCAACCACCAAGGAAACAAGGAGGGTTCACAGTTAGCAGAAAGCATAAACACTGGTTATGGAGCGCCTATGACAATCATAGTACAATAGAAGTTTGGAATTACGACCATAAAAAGAAAGAGCAGTCGAAGTTAAAAGCATTCAATTGCAGGGCTATGGTTAACTGATTTTCTTTTAAGTTACTATGAAATGTGAAGTAATTGATTTATGATTAATCACCTGCATATTTGAAGAAGAATGATGACAAAATCCCTTGGGCTGCATTGTTGCATATCAAAAGCATGGTAGCCTTTGAATGTCCTTGCAGGATGTCCAAGCCACTGGTACCTAAGAACATTGAGATACAAGAAATTAAAGCAACAAGCTTTTGTATTTGTTAAAAGTGAAAAGGATAAAGTGTACATGGAAAGGACTGAAATTAAACAAACGGACTTTCCTTAAGCTCGACTCTTTCCAGTCTAATTCAACTATCTAAAGCTCATGAACACATAGTCATACTGAATATACATAAAGAATAACAAAAATCTGGGTACAGAAAGCTCCTTTAGTAATGTAAGAAGTCAATATATTAAGATATTTTACACAAAAAGCTTGTGTATCTATCAAAAGCTCCATGCAATTGCATACTTCTAAAATGAATCAATAGGGCTTCTTAAACTGCATATTTGATGTCCTTACCTTCAAAAACAACAGTAACAACAATTCCTAGGAAGTTGAATATCGCACCATATCCATACAGAAACAAGTTCTGCAAGACAAACAGAAAGCTTTTCAGTAAAAGAATAAATATATTCAAAAATAAAAACTTTAAGAAAGGCAAACATGAATCCATATGAATTAACACAACAAAAATTTGAGGAAACAGAAAAGGCTAGAAGGCAGAAATAACCACCACAGTGTGCCAACTTGAGTATGTAAGAATTTACGAATGAATATTCATGGAGACAGTCACGTACTAAACAGAAAAGAGATTTACATAACAGCCTCCTGCACTAAGCAGTTACTATGTCATATCAGCATAGGAAACTCACCTGAAGGTAAATGCTCGTCTCAAATTGACTCTTCAAAGCATACTCATTATAAACTGATCCAAGAGATGGAATCGTGACCTGTATCAATGTTGTAAAGTTAGCTTTTCACCATATGATGCCCTCTAGCACAAAACATACATCAACATCACACTCTAGGCTCTACATTTTTCTATAACAGATTAATACAAAATTGCTGAGAAAAGAAAAAAAGGCAAACATCATTTGGGATGAAAAAGAAGGAAAGTAACATTGATCTCATTTCAAAAGGACAATATGCCACCCACAATAACAAAGATAGATTTTGTATCCCTAATCGAAGATTTATACAAGAGATTATGGCTGTCACTGCAATTAAACATATTCAGAATGACAAAATATTTTAAGAGTAGTAAACTGTGCAGGTAGTTCAGTCCCATAAAAACCAAGAGATAATCCTGTGCATATCTAGACGATCTCGGCCAGAGCATTTAGCCTAATATAAAAAATTTACAATCTCTAATCTATTTTGTTATAACTCAGAGGATTAATACTTCTGGTTTTATTCAGAAACTACTGAACAGTTTATTGAGTTTTGACTGGTAATATTCATCTGCATGCAATGAACTTATCAAAGTCATTGTAGTTTACAGTCAGCAGTTTCTACATTTCTGGTTCTTCTATGAAGCTCCTGACATACCTTTATATCATTTACACTAATAACCAGCATATATTATTTTGACTGTACCATGAATGCACTCAAACATTGATTAAACAAGAAATTTAAATTTTATATTATTACTAATTTTAGAACTTATAGCACCATCTTGAAATTTGGGGGATTTTACAACAGTGTTGACAATTCTCCAGGAAGATACTTGTAGGCAATAAAAAAAAAGACATGTTGAACCAAGAATACCATAATGGTGAATACTTACAAATATCAGAGTACATAGGTATGCCCCTGTTGCAAGTGGAATACCCAGAGCAGTGGTACCCTCTGGTAAGGACCGCAACTGATTCACACTGACTCCAATAAGCAAAAGAGCAAGAGCTTCCCACTGTTAAGTAATAGATAAACAAATATTAGACAAGCAGAACACACAAAGATTCACACACAAATGACACACAAAGGTTAGTTGTTAATAATCCAAATAATATGTAACAGAAGTCTAATGTAAACTAACCTGAATGATAGAAAACTGCCGTTTCATTATTATCTTTAACAGGAGAGCAATCACAAAAACCTGCATATGTTTGTGAGCCATCAAAAGTTGCTAAGAAAATGAAACATTAAAAACTACTGTATAAATTATTTTGTCCTTCTGTAAAAGGAAGATAGGGACAATACAACCTTTAAGGCAATCACAACTTTCCACAACTTTGTTATAATCCAAGTCCACAGAACAGGCAGTGGAAGTTATATTAAATAACTCACTAAATAAGTCTAGACCCAAATATTTAATATTGATGCAGGAAGATGAATATAGAGTAAACTCAAAATGTTGAACACTTTGTCCCCCGTCAATATACTGGAATTATCTGTCCTAGGCACCAACTTTTGGTTATGAGTAATATTATTGTGAATAAATCAGGCCCCACAGCAAATATTGTTATGATTCTGAGCATATTGCATCACTAGCAAATACCTTCAGGTTGCTCAGCATCTTCACAGTCGCAGGATTGAAATAAAGCTGCAAAAAGCATAAATAGGATACTTAAAAAAGTCAACAGTAATCAAACATCAAGCCTAAACAAAACCATGACACATTTTAGACTTTAAGTAAATATTCAGCAAGTATAATGCTTCAGTTTTGAGCTTTTATCAAAAAGAATATACATACCTGCATAATGAACTTTAAATAATTATTGATAGCATATAGGAAAGCAGGAACAGCAAGAAGCACATTATCTTGAGCTGCCTGCAAAAATGTAAAAGAAGGAAAAAGGCACCGTACGATCAGAAGTTATTATTCTGCTTGAGTTATGGCAGATTTTAGTGTTTCACCAAAATCAGGAGTCACGGCATAAAATGTTATATAATCAATAAGGCTTGATATTTCATATTACAAATAACTCAAAGTAGCAGTACTAAATAATCTCTTACCTGTACAAAGGTGGAAAATGAGAGAAGAGATTTCTCTCCAACTTTCTTATGTTGAGCCTGAAACAAAATCAAAAGAAGAAAAAAAGAATTGGATAAGATACAAGATCTCAAATATTTGCTGATAAAAGATTAAAAGAAAAATTTCTGACAAAAGTTTAAGTCAATAAAAGCATTAGGAAATAAGAAAAAGGGACGCTTATCCACAATGCATTGCTACTACTCTACTGATCAAGGCTTGGAATCATTAGCTAACCTTGTAGGTCAATCTGGCTAATTCCAGCAGTCCTTCCAATTTGCTTCAAAATGGTTTTCTTCTAGGTGGTTTTTAAATTTAAAATAATACTCCTTATGGAATATAAATATAATGTTACCTAATTGAGTTATATAGGTTATGGCAACCCAAAAGAGGCAGAAACTTTGTTACTAACCAAAGTAAAACAACTCACATGTGTTCCACAATAGTTTCACATTTCTCTTTTTAAAACATGTTGTTAATGCAACAAATAATAAAATTTGTGGACTTTATTATTTTAAAGCTAAACCTCAAGGGGTAAATGATACGTTATCTATCAAAAAAATATCAAGTGCTTATTAAAGAATATTTGACAAATATGGGAAAAATTCTGTGTTTTTGTTTAAAAAAAATGAACTTGAAAATGAAAGTAATTTAATTAATTTTATATTTAAGATGTTAGAATGCTTTCTACATCATTTCCTTAAAACATCCATTTTGAAAATGAAAATAGTGAAATGTGTTTTGTAAAGCTTTTGAAAATAACAAAAACTATAATTTAACATATTAGCAAGTGAATACATTTCCTTGGCTCAGTTCAAATATTATAAGAATACTCAATTAATATTTTTAAAAACTTTAGGAGTCAAACTAAAATAACTTAATAAAAAATTAATTAAAAAATAAAACATCTCTAAGAGGCTTTTGGGCATTAATATATGAATCTTGAAAATGAAAAACTATGAAAAAGTTGCTATCCCAATATTGTTATTTTTCACTTATAAATAAAGAAAACAGGATTTTTCATTTTCTGAAAACAGAAATAAAAACACATTACAAACAAATATGTACCATTTTAGAAACCAATTTTCAATAAAAGGACGGTGCCACACAGGACCTACTTTTCTTGAACTAAAAGTCCACATGTTAGATAAGAAAAGGACTCTTAAATGCGTTGTAAAGATCCACATCATAAGATCCTTCAAAAACGTGCATTTAATCACTTTTATCAAAAGCGTTTTAACTCAAAAGCACTCCCAAAACTTACTCATTTTAAATTTAATTAATGCTGTTCTTACTTTTCACTCCCAACAATTAATTCCTTCTCAAAACTTCTCACAATCAACTAATTCACATTAATACATTAACATCAGATAAACAGAATTAAAATTTAAAAATAGATCAAACTTATAACCAGTTTTCATTAATGTTTTTTAATAAAATTCTCATGTTTCCAGGTTTATAAAAAAACGTAAATAAATATAAAAAAATAAAATTATACTACCTGAAACAGCATAAATAAAATATATAAATCTAATTTACAACATCACATAAACAGAATTTCAAACTAAATACATAAAACTTATTCTTTTTTATTTTTTAATAAATAACAACAAAATATAAATAAATAAAATTACCTCAAGCAAGAGCATAACAACAGCAAAGAGAACCTTCACTATTTCAGTCAAAAAATTGACACTAATCGGACTGTATTTGAAGCCTCCATCAACTTTACTCACATAAACCAACACAGGCTGCAACAAAACCAAACGATTATGATTACATTATGCAAATTACATCGAAATTGAACGGAAAAACGCAAAATTAAATGCTTGAATTCGTTGATTGACCTGTAAACCGACCAAAACGCAGTCGCCAACGACCAAAGCGACGTGGAGGAAGCGCGTTTTGGAGAAGCTTTCGGTTCGGCGTTTGTCGTAGGCTTTGGACACTCCGTCTGTGTGTAGTTCGATCTTTGAGTGACAAACGCTGCATTCGATCATCGTTTTCGGTCAAAACGACGGTGGGAAAAGTGAGGTTTTGGTAAAACGACAGAGCGGTTTTTGTGATTTGAATATGGTATCATTCGAACTTAAGTTTGAAGCAGAGTGTTTATATAGTCAAATGACATGAGAAGCAAGGTTCTTTGGTCCCTAATGTTAGACTCGATGATAATAGAATCCCTACATTTTGATAGATACAAATAAACACATTATTTTTCTATTTATGTTAATTGAGACCTTTAATAATGAAGTTTTTTAATATAAATAAATAATTTTTTTTGTACCAAATTAAAGCATACATTAAGAGGATTTTGGTAGACTTATGCAATTTTTAATCAACGATTTTACGATAATTTTTTAGAATAAAAATAGGTCTCTCTAAGAAATTTCTAAATAATGGGGTTTATTTAAACTTGGGAGATTTGTGGTGATTTTTAACATAAAGTTTATGGTAATTTGTAATTTTAGTGAATATATTTAATGAATTTTAGAATTAATGGATTAAACATTTTTTTTTCAATTAAATTTAAGGAAGGTTAATAATATTTTTTTTTTACTAAATAGGACACTAATGTGATTCATGCACTAACCAATGTTTTGGGTCAATTTTATATTTTTTGAAGTTAATTGTTTGTTTATTTTAAATAGAAAATAAAATTATTAATTAATTAATTTTCCTTTATAAGTTGTTGATTCAAATTACATCAAAAGATTAGAAGTCCAATACATTAATTTGAAAATAAGGAAAAAAAAAAAAATTTAATTTTGTTTCCAAATTAAGTGAAGAAAAAAAGAGTATCTTAATAGAATAAATACTAGGGTATATTTTTCCTTTTAAGATTAGAAAATTAATAAAATCTATTGAACTATTAAAGATATAAATCCTCAAAATTTGTAAACTGCCCATCATTTTTTGAATGTCATTAAAAACTTTTTTTTTTTGAGGAATCTCCTATGATATGGGACTTGTACTGATACTAATAATATTTATTAATTTGTGATTATAGATGCATGAATATATATATATTTTTAAAGGTAACCGAGGTATTCAGACCCACATTGGAGTGAGCTTAATCTTTATTAATTGTCAATCTCAATTATGTCATTATAGTGATGTCGTGAAACTGTCTCCTACAAGTATTTCTCACATATATGACCACATCTCTTTTAAAAGGGCGTCGGACCTTTATCGAACAAATAACGTAACAAAAGAAAGATCAGCAAGAGAAGAGATGGAAAGCAAATACTAATTCATTTTTTTTTACAATACATTATTGAAATGAATTGATTTGTGCTGTGATTATGCAGATGAAACATCACAAGAAGCTCTTGACAGTCACATTGTTCTCATTTAACTTCCTCAATATGCAGCCCTTTCAAATTTGACATAACAAAGAGGGAGCTCTTGATAGTCACATTGTTCTAAATTTATGAATGATGAGTTATACAATGAGAGAATGACTAAAATACAATCGATGAGTACATACGTGATCATACGGCTGCAGCTTTGAGGGAAAGAAAATCCGAAATCTTGTTGGTGTAGAAATCCGGTTGTATCGAGTTGCTGGGGCTTTGAAGCATTGACAATGAGGTCACACCTGTTGAAGAGAATAAAACTCTTGATTTAGATTAGATACCGGGAGTAATGGAAGTAGAAGAGGATTGAGTAGAGAGGCATTTGTTACCGGAGAGAACAAGAAGAGTTTTGCAGCCACCATTCTGTCCAAAGAGAATATCTGTATCCAATCTGTCCCCGACCATGCATATTTGTGACTTGGAAATGCCAAATCTGTCGTTGAACAAACTCATGAGGGTAGAATTAGAGACTAAAGGTCTCGTTAGACTGATATACAAGCAAATATCCATCTATTTCTCTTTCTTTTGCCATGTCCAGGAATTTTAGCATTTCCCAAATGTCCGAGATTGCGAAGAAATAGTCGTAAATTGTGTATATCTACTAGAAAAGAGCAAATTAGACAGTTTGTGTAATCACACATTTACAATGTGCACAACTGAAGAGCACTCAAGTTATAGCTAACAGAAAGAAAAATGTTTTTTTTTTTTTTTTTTTTTTTTTTGAACTGTTTTTCTAACAAGAAATTAGAAAACATACTTGTTTGCCAAGTAGTCCATCATAAAGGTTGAGGGCTTTCCAACGACTATAGGCTCACGTTGACAAGAACCAGCAATGGCACCGACCATAGACCCACCACCTACAAATGAAGTAAACATCACGATTGCTTTTAAAATAGATGTGAAGCAAATTTTTTTTTTTTTTTTCTTATAGAAGAAAAAATAATTGAAGATTCTTCATATGAGTGGAAACTGAAGGTATTAAAGCAAGATGCAATGAAACCAGGAGAGAGTAGAACCTGCCCATTCCTGAGCATCTGTGAGGTGAGTCACAGCATCACGATTTGTAGCAATGAATAGACAGCCAGGATTTTCACGCACGCAGAGTGTTCCATACCTTTCATCACAAAAATCATGGAGGATCAGAAATCCTTACGCATCAAAAAAAAAAACTCATGCCTGCAAACTAAAAGTTGGCACTCCATACTGGTCAATTTTCTGTATTACTGGCCATAATAGTGGATTAGTTTTACGATTTTGTAATTTCTGATTTTAAAACAGAATTACAGCATGAATTAAGAGACAGTGAGAATCAGTTTTAGACTAGAGGGCCTAAAACAGCAGACAGAGTGAACTTATCACAGTTTCTAAGATGGGATTATTGTACTCAATCAATGAAGCCTTAATCCTCGGTACATGTCTTTGCTAAAAGAATACTATGGGGCTGTTCATTTCATTTTTTTAATCTTAAATAATATCTGGAGCATATGAATATTATAAAATTAAGAATCGACATCTTGGGTTCGATGACCATAAAACATGCACTTTGCTGATGTTAAATGACAAGGCAGAAGGGTAATTAGAAATGCATGCCCGAAGTTTCAGCATATTGATTTCAGCCAATATCATATGTCAATAATTAAATAGGCCTTTGTATGAATGTTTCTAGATGCCTGGTTTTGCAATGAGCATCGATGGGACTGCTTGCTTTCACATATTTGAAATAGCCGTGTAACATTACGCTTTGTTAGTAAATGATTTCTCCAATACATATTTGTCTGTGTAGAAACTGGGGAACTTACTGTATCTTGTAGTAGTTGAAATAACGATCAAATCCAACCACAACAGCTCCCACCTAATCAGCAAATGAAAATTTCTTAGCCATGACCAAAATTTGGGAGAAAGATATAGCTGTTCATCACTTTTTACCAAGTTTACCAAGTTGCAAAGTAAATACAATCGTAAAGCATTTACAGGAAGCCTTATTCTCCCCCGTATTTCGTATGAAAAAAACAATAATGAGAATCCAAGCCAGAAACGTAGCAACAAGAAGCAAGAAAGAAAAGAACTTTACATCTTTATCATGCTCCATAAGGAAACCAGGCTTTAGCTCTATCTTTTTCTCACCATCCGCCTGTAAGACAAAGAATATATCAACTAAGTTTTCTCTTTAAACATTTGAAAGGAACTGATAAACCATTGGTGGCAAAGTAGATAGAACTATGGTTCAGCATTGTGGACAAAACTAGCTATCTGTAAGCCTAAATTAACAATAGCTAAACACGGCAAGCTATCAAATTAATATATAGTTGAAACTTTGACTCTCATGACAAGTGGAAATTTTACATACAGGTCCACCAAGATATTGATATCCAGCCAGCTCAAGCTCCTTCAAGATGCCATCCTCTCCGATCACATAAACCTAAATCACAATCAGCCATCAGTCCATCACCATTAATGACATAATGGTTAAAAATAAAATAAAAATAGAGGCCAAAATCTTCAGTACCAATTACCTTTTTATCTTTTGGGAAATCAATCGATTTCAAGTAAGCAGCAGCTGCAAAAGATGATGCAAATATTTCCTCCTAAAAGAATTCATTTGGGTTAAGAAGAGTTGTTGTTGACAGAACTTTAGCAAAACCTTGGAGACAAAGGAGTCATTAACTAACCTCATTAACACTCAGACCAAGTGTCTCAAACTTTTTACCATACTGTTTCCTAGACTTTGTCGAGTTGTTGGTAACAAAAACTAATCTCTTGCCCTGAAGAAAATGAAAGATAAACATTAGCTGATAGCCTCGGAAACTTCATCTTGTTTCAAGACATTTAAATTTTTTGACACATACTGCTAGAGTTGAACTAATAATCATAAATAATCATACCATTCATGACAAAAGAAATATACAAACCTTGGCCCGGAGCATATCAAGGGTTTCTGGGACTCCATCTATTAATTTATCACCTTTCCAAATTACTCCTGCAAATTATTCATTAATTAGTATGGCAAGAAACCTGATCAGAATACCTTAGGCCTGATCTCAACTGCAACCAACCCTATCCAAAGCAAACAAATAAATAAATAAAAAAGCCACAAATTGCTTCTCAACATATCTAAAATGAATTTCCTTTGACTTATAAACTAGCTTACAAGTTTAGCAAATTAGCACGCGACTACAGACTTCACCAATTTCATGATTAAGAAATACATGACCATTCAACGAAATGAAACACACAAACATACACCATAAAGTTTCACAAATCTGTTAAGAATGACAGAATAGATACATGAAAATGCAGATACAAACACATACATGTGACCTTTTGATTAGAAACTTGAGATAACAATCAATGGTCCAATCAAAATAGTATCAAAAGTCCTAACAAAAATCAACTTATAATAACTATTAGAACATATTATCAAACATAGTAACTCGGAAAACTCACACAAAACATCGTACCAAAAACACCAAGAACTCCATTATAGCAAAAATGATTGGCATAAATCACACATAACCAAATTGTAAACTTTAATCTCCCAACTACACAAGAAAATCACTTAACCACCTCAAAACTTAAAACCCCCGATCATTTAAACACAAATAGTAAACAATTCACTAGAATATAAGTAAAAAAGCAACAAGCTCTCACCATTTTCAATCAAAGATAAAAGTACTTGTTATCAACATTGAAACTCAAAAAACACACAAATCTGCAG